ATTCGTACTATCCCTTATACCACTGCTACTTTTATAATTTTAAAGTGCACAATTCGCATCGTTGATTGACAGATTACATTGACTGGCTCATATATATATATATATATATATATATATATATATATATATATATATATATATATATATATATATACATTGAAAGTCACGTAAATAAGAGTTGAGCCTGAGATTTAATTGAAAATATTGTCTGCTTACATGTCGCACAATAATTTTCACGATGGGAACTTTGAACATTTTTTTAAATTACGCTAACAGTCAAAGATTATTCCAGACGTAATACAGCAAGTGTTTGGCTTGAAGAATAAATTAGTATTTTGCACATCCGAACTGCGTTCAGTTGTAAGAAACGGGACAGAATGTATATACATTACACATACTAGAAGGGGTTAAGCATGTAAAGTCAGCACTTTACATAGAATAAATCGCTTTTTATTTCTTCCCACGTTAATCATTGTGATGCTCAACCAACTGTAGTGCAAGAGGTCTAGCGACTGAAGAGTAATAACTTCGCAAAACCTTGAGACGCATTTTAACAGCACCTTCAGTATCCAACAAAATTGCCCGACCGATAGCTGCTACCTTGAAGTGATAGTTGGGCTTGTGTATCACAATGATGCTGCGAGCTACACTGGCTGGAACGCTTGTGCCCTCAAGGTCCTACAATGCCAGAAAGGTCTGTGGGATGGTGGTTAGATAAAAAGTAGGCACCATTATAGTGTAAATTGCTAAGCTATGATGGGGGGGGGTCTGAGGGCGAGATCATACTGCTGACTGGACGATGATGTGATGATAGCAGTAAGGTGTTTCATTTGGATGACCAGCAGTGTCACGATGGTGCTGTCTTACCAAAGGGAAGGGGGGTTAGAAAAGGTCAGCCCCAAAAATAAAACTCCCACCCCTTCGCGGCATGCCAATACCTGCAACAGGGATTCGTAGCCGGATTCGAGAGTAAAAAACTAAAATCTCAAACTGTCAAAAAGGCCGCGTGTGATCGGCCTCAGGCAGATGTCCCATGGGCTCTTAGGTCATATACTATCTCTTTTACAGATACCTCAAGAAGAACTAGCCATCCACGGTGTGAGCAGTTAGGAAGTGTCAATCGCCCGCACGCTCCCGATTGTACACAAGACCCAGTAAGTGCGCTTCTCAACTGTAAACAGCTGTGTGTGCTGTTCAACTGAGTGGATCTGTAAGGATTAGGAACAGTCGTGAAACTCCTCAAAGCCTATTTGTAATCTACACCTACACACCCACTGATTGCAGTTTGGATGATTCAAAAAGTGAATTTTATGCAAAGCTGTCAATTTTCCTGCCGAAAGCAAAACGCCCGGATGTAGTCATGCTGACAGGTGAATTTAACGCTCAAGCAAGGAAGTTGGGCCCATAGTAAAAGCATCTTGGAGGTATTTACTTAATCCTATACCAACGAGCCGACAAGGGTGATCGTCTCTTGCAATTTTTTTTCCAACAGTCACTTGTGTCTGGCCAGCACTAACTTTAAGCATAGGGAGAGACACTCTCACAAGACTGTCTATGATCCATTGGAAGATAAGAACGTCAAGTACGTATTTCGGGAGGAGTTAGCCAAAAATTTATCTAAACGTGACAGCAATCCTCATCGTGAGGAAATCTGGTGTCATATTGAATCTGATGTAGAGACAGCGGTAAAGACAACTGTTAATCTACACCCAAAGGTTAGCGAACGTCAATGGATTTCCCCAACAGCATCCAAAATGACTGATGCGAAAAACTGATTCCAGCTGGTTCTGACCACGATGAAGAGCGAAACCAACTTAAACATAAGTTGACCAAGAGTCTATAAGTCGATCACGAGCATTGGTGGGTGGCGAAAGCGAGAAAGATTGAAGAGGCATAAACATTAGGTAACACCCAGCAACTATTTAGGATTATTAAGGATACCGATAAGACGATGGTTAATGAAACCACCACAGAAAACGATGCAACGCTGACAACTTCCTAGGACAGGCAGCTAGAATGTTGGGTAGAACTTTCTGAAGTACTGTTCAGATGGTCCCCAGCAACGCTTCAGTTACCCAACATCCAGCCTGAGCCCGAATGGGACGTAGATGTCGGTAGTCCAACCGTCCCTAAAGTTTAGGCTGTGTCGAACCTGAAACGATCCAAAGTAGCAAAATCTGACAGTTTGCCACTTAAAGTTTCCAAGGATGGAGATAGGAAATCGCTGATAAGAGTGATGGACGTACTATGTAGCGCATGGGAATCAGAGGGAGTGCTATCAGACTGATGTACTTTACTGATCATCCCAGTCTAGAAGGTATAGAAGTCTTCCTGTGACAACCATAGAGAAATTAGTGTAATAGTGTCAAAGACACTAGGATCCACTGTTATCTGACACCCGATTAAAGCCCAAAAACAGAATACTCGAGAAAACCAGGCAGGTTTCAGAATTGAACGAGAGTTCATCGACTAAATTTTCACTCTCTGACAGGTTCTAGAAGACGGCATACCTACTGGTGACCAATACGCCATATTTCTTGACCTAAAGGCATCATTTGGCTCTGTCGACCGTGAGGTGTTCTGATAGTGTCTAACTGTGAAGTGAATACCGAGCAAGTACATAACGCTTATCAAAGCTCTCTACTCAAACTCACGTAGTTGTGTAACTGCCTATAGAGAGTTGTCAAGTGAGTTGACAAAATAGTGGTATCCGGCTATCCGGCAGGTATGCCCACTGTCAACATTCTTATTTGACTTCATCATGGACGTACTAATGGACATAACCTTGGGTAAACATGACTTCGCAGGGATTGATCTACCACCTAGAAGTCATCTGGTTAACTTGGAGTAGCCGGACGATTGTGTCCCGCTGGTTGAGGACACTGATACAAATCAAGGTCTTCTGAACTCGTTGAGCAGAAATCTATGTTTGGTATGCATTTCGCATGTGCCAAATGTAAAGTGATGCTCCAGATATGACTGGTCTGCTGTAAGTACTGCCAGCTTAACGACAGGGAGTGAAGTAGTGGGATGTGCTGACCGATTCACTTACTTGAGGAGTTGCATCATCTCGAACGGGCTGGTGGCTGACAAGATCTCAGCTCGGATACAGAAGACCCGCTTGGGATTTGCCAACTTCACCTGTGGCGTCAGCAAGATATCCGGCTATCTATCAAAGGACGAATATACTGCGCTGCAGTCCGTTCTATCCTGCTCTGCTATACAGCTGTGAGGCATGGCCAACGAAATTAGAAGACATGGAGCGGTTACAGGGTTTCGTTCACGGTTGTCTTCGTAGTATTGCTCGTGTTTGGTGGAGTCACCGTGTGAGCAGTACTGAGGTCAGGCGAAGAATACTAGGTAAGACATGCAAGTCGATTGATGAGGTTGTAAACGTTCATCGGTTGAGGTGGTTTGGACATGTAATGCGCATGCCAAGTGATCACTAACCTCGATGTCCAATACTAGTTGAAGCTGGGCCAAGCTGGAAGAGGGCTGAAGGTGGCCAAACAAAGATGCTGCATAAGTTGATGGTCTATAGCTGTTGGTCTAACCAGTGTGGGGAGATGCAGACTCCGTGGCTGGGGTCCTCAAGACGAAAGGAATCAGTGGTTGACGACTCTTGGTGACATGGCTGAAAATCGATCACAATGGTGCAGATGTATTCACTCCTTGACATCTGAAGCTTGAATATTCGCACTAACCTTTATCTTCAAATTGTTTGTTCTTTTACCCAACTTTGTCTACTTTGATATCACTGTATCTATCCTCCTGTTCTTTGTGTACTTCTGTGAATTGTGGGAACTTGAGGCGATGCACCTGTGTGCGAGATTCTATGTCTATGTCTTAAAAAATTACAGGGTTCGTAGTGGAAGCTGCCAAGCTTACTCGTAAAGTCATGCAATTTAATTTATATAATTTTTAAGTGTTCCATATGACGCCCCTTCAATAATTACTTGATTGTCCATACCTAATGGTCAGGTATCACAGATGATTACCAATTTCTTTTAAAGGCTATTCACAACTACTAACATATGGTGTAGACCGCTTATTTTTTGTTTTGAGACACAGCTTAAGATAGCACTTTCAATTTGTTTATTTGTCTGCAAGCCTGAGTATGCTCATACATATGTAGATATGCCCTAGGTTTTACATTAGTTCAGAAACAACTATTCTGTAACTTCAGCATTTGTGTTGAAATCCCTAATATCTGCAGGTAATCAAGTTAATATTATGTGCAGTAAAAAGCTAGGTGCGACTTAACTTTGTTCACCTCCGCATATATATATATATATATATATATATATATATATATATATATATAATGAGAACAAACGTTTGTGCTTCTTAATTGCTATTAGTTTAGATAAACCTAAGTGATGGGCAAGTATGGTTTTCTTCAGCCTAAACCTAACAAACCAATCAGGTAGCCGTTCAGAAAGGACATTATAGTAAGAAGCGAATAAAGGTTTTATTATTTAAATATTGAGGCTTTGTTCAACAGTGGATAAGAAAATGTCTAAATTTTATTTAACTTAATCATATTAAAGGATGAAACAGTAGATCGTAGATTTCATTTACGAGGTATGAGCAGCTCACTATGATTTCATAAAATCGGTGTGTATGCACACTATGCTAGACCATAATCTTTGGTCCCCTTCATCACTGATTTTGACCCGAAGTAAATGAAAATTTAGAGTTCACTGGTCAACTATGAGGAAAACAACTACTGGCAGATTTTATTCTGGTTTGTTACCCAGTTCTATAACAAAAAACCCCAAGTTAAGGCTGAACTCTTATAATCTACCTTTCAAATTGCAACATACATTTCTTAGTTTTCTGCTTAGTCAATAAAAAAAAACTAATTGTAATCCATTAGGATTTCAGCAACTTATTTTTTGCATCAAGAATTCCAAAACAGAATACAATCTGAAATATCTTGTATACAAGTTTGACGAAAGAACTGCAATTTTCCAATATTGTGAAAGTGAACCACTTACGTGTTATTATCCCGCATTTCACATGCTAATTAACTATCTCCAGTGGAACAGGTCACATAGCATCACCATCACTAAGGTTCAATGGAACAACAATCGATGTAAAAGTACGTTGTAAACCTGGTCATACAAAAGCACAAGGATTGAAAAACTTCCCATTGGTGTGAAAGCAGTGAAATTATCGCTGCAGGTTTCTTAAAAAAGTAGGATACGTGGCGACCACAATCGGATCACAGGTCATTGAGTCAAGGAATCAGTTCTTTCACAAATTCAGTGTGTGGATAATCCTATGTATTGCGTCCGAAATTTAAAACGAAAGAATTTCGAGGTAAATTTACAAGAACCCATCTAGCACCACTTAGGCGACACTTAAAAGATAGGACTTTGTTTAACAGTTCTTAAAAAATTCCTGACATCGAAGTCATTTGCTTTGAAATGGATTTCGAATTTGGGTTGACCAGGTAGTCATACATCATTCTGATTGAGAAACATGTGAATTTACTGACCCAGACATTCTTACTACATCCAAGGTCGTGAGTTTCGACATTCAAGTTGACCACTGAGGTAACTGTCCAATGTTTATCAGCTGTTGAGCAAATTCAATCAGCCACAAATTGTTAGCTTCCACATATCACTTTTATGATTTGGTTCTTAGGATTGCCTTAATTTTTTCAATGAACAAAGTTTACAGCTTCGGAGTCAGTTATTGTACTCTAGTACAGTGTGATGCATTCAAACCTCAAAACTTCAAACTTCGTATTGAAGAATTGGTGAATGATATCTAATATCCAATAGTGATAGTCCGAACGCAGAAAACTGGCAGTTTTTGATCTTTAGCGTTTAGTTCTTACGGCTTAGTTTGAGTTGTTCGGTTTACTCCTGTAGTGGATAGGGAAATCTCTGCTTTCTTGCTTTTAGTTTCGATGAGGTGGATGTTCTATGGGTTAGTATGTTGCAATTTGTACAGTGATGGTTCCCTGGGTTCTACGCCTGTCTTGTTGAGATACGTTCTAGGTCTGGAATAGTCACGGTTGTCTTCCTGGTTCTGAAAAACCTGAAAGGATAAAGATTATCGATTGCTAATAAGTCTGGTCTCATGGTACTATTACTGCCCCTGATTTGTAGATGACGATAAGCTTGCCGAGTACAGCCCATCGGTACCACAAGACTCAAGACCTACACCTAACCTCCTCTTGAAAGTATCAGGGGCGGGGCTGTAACATGCGCTGAGGGAAGGGAGTTCCACATTCTCCAAACTTAACCACAAACCAGTTAGCACGAATCTCGGCACGTGCTGTCTCATGCTCTACTCCCAACAGGTGACTTCCAAGGTGATACTCGTGGTTGAGGCTTAGGATGAAGGGGATTATGGGCCATGTAGTATGTCATTATCGTATCCTCTGTGATCCTCTGGGATTTTGCTACATGCAGCTTAAAAGCAACTAAGTGGTCTAGATGAGGTTTGCGTCGTAACATAGTCACTTTCTTCTTAACTCTTCTCTTAGCCTAGCCTAGGATGGCTCTGTCCTTCCTCCAGTATAGGGACATCACAAGCGAACTGTTCTCAAGGTGAAGGCGGATATGTAGTGCATGCACTGTGGAGAAAAAAGGAGTTAGGCTTCCTAAAGTTGGAGAGAGAAACCTTAAGATTCCATGGTCCTTGTTGACTCCAAGAGGGCAGTGGGCTAAAGCCCCTAGTGTGCCACTCAGTGTAATGTTCCAAGTTAGAGTGACAGATGTTTATTTCACCTGGAGAGTAAGAGCTGGGACTGTTCTTATGTTTGTCAGTTACCATTACCCTATACTTCTTCGAGTTGACAAGCAGCGGGTTTTCTGTAATCCAATTTGGGATATTCGTTAGGTCCTGCCAGGGGCATGATAAGTTCGCCTGCACCTGTATTAATGGAAACAAGAAAGAGTAGTGGACCCAGAACAGAACATTGAAGCATACCATCTAGCATCGGGAATCAATAAGATAAAAAGGAAGACAGCTCTAACTGACTGCAACCTAGTGTAAAGATAGTCTCTGAGCCAAAATAGTAGTTTTCCATGTACAATCATAAGCTGAAGTTTTTTACACAAGATTTTATGATTTACCCTGCCAAAGGCCTTAGAAAAGTCAAGTAAACCGATGCGAATGAGCCTCTTCTGCTCAATAGAGAGAATCCAGCCATTCCATGCTTTCAACAAGTTACGCTACCTTCCAATAAAAGCCCATGCTGGTAGTTGTTTATGATTGAATTTTTAAGTAGCCAACCACGAGATGAGTCATTTATTACTCTTTCCATGACCTTCGCAACTGAAGAGACCGGGGAGATCAATCTATAGTTACAGGCAAATAGTTTTTCCCACCCCGCCTGGCTAACTGCCCCACTAGTTACTAGCCGGTCCCAAGCCCGGGTAAAGAGGGAAGGTTGGGCATAGGGCTGGCAACCTCTACCCCATAAAACCAATCAACCGCTACAGAAACCTCAAAGCGGAGACAAAATATAAAACAAAATAAACTCATTCCTCACTGGAATCGGAGAGGTGAAATGACGCCGGTCGGTGAAAGCCTTCAGGAAGCCAATTGGCCGATGTGTCTCCAATCACTCCATAAAAGCAAAAGTAAACGTGTGTGTAGCGGCCAGAATCCAATAATCTTGGCCTGAACGCGGGAAATAGCTAGGCGGTGCCAACTGACGTGAATCTGACTAGTTCCTGCGTTCTACTGTATAGCTTCCTAACTTCCGCGAGTGACGCACAGTCAAAGGTTGGATCGAAATATCAAAACACGGTTTGTAGTAATTCAATAGTAGATTCGTAACAAAATCTGTGGTACTATCAAAGCAACAATAAGTTATGTCAAATTACAAAAATACCTCAACAGTGCCGTTGGGTAACTATACAGTCCAAAACGTTCTCGGGTACAAATACGTACTACACGGTAAAAACTGGTTAAAAAATACAACTGTTAAATACCTGTCGGTCAATAGGAATATTCCCGGCAAAAGGGATCAAAACTCTGCCTACAGGAATCAAATCAACAAACAAACGTTCCCAGTAGACAGTCAAAAGACAAACAGTCAAATCACTGCACAACCGTAAGTTGAACCAAAACAAAATGTCGTGCGCAGTAAAACAACATCACCTTATCAACAGTCCAGCGTCACATAATAGGAAAGTGAAACACTCATAATAAGTCTCAAACATACAAAGGCAAATACCGAGTGTAAAGTCAAATAAGACAGTTAAACAAGCAAATAACATTACACCGGCGAGGGTCAAAGGTACACCATCCACAACGAGGGTAAAAATGTTAAAATAAATGTCAATACAATCAAATAAGGGTGATCGGGAGGGATTTTCAGATCATTTTTCCTTTACACCGGCCACCAAAATCCCTCCAGACACGCAAAACACCTCTGTGTATTCAGCCGTGGCTCTATCTACCTAGCTGTCTGCATACTCTATCTTTCTTCTACTCCCTCAAGAAGACAAAGCTTTCTTATATCTCTTCTCACGGTACCTTCCTTCATACGCACCATCACAGTTCTTACTAAATCGTCTTCGTCCTTCTCGCATGTTTCGATCACTCCCAAAGGCCAGGAACCACGTGGTGTTTTTTCAGAGGCCACAATCACCACATCTCCCTCCTTGAAATTTCTTTTCCTTCCCAACCACTTCTGACGAGTTTGCAAGCATGGTAGATATTCTTTCATCCATCGGCGCCAAAATACGTCAGCTAAGTAATTAACTTGTTTCCATCCTTTCTGCACGCGACAGACCGGTAAGGGGGCCATCATCTGCTGACCCAGTGCAGCTTTCAATCGTCGGCACTCTATGCACTTTCTTATCACCCGTTTGACCGCACTGATCCCCTTAATTATCCAATAGTTTCTTCGTAGAGTGGCCAGGACTTGCGAAGTACCAGTATGTCCTTCTATAATATGATAATGCCTTATGATCAGCTCAGTCACGAAGTGATGTCTGGGGAGGATAACCGGATGCTTAAAAGTAAGTGGATAGTCGGAATAGTTCAACCTCCCACCGACGCAGACCAATCCATCCACAAGTATAGGTGACAACCTTTGCAATTCACCTTCTTCAGTCTCACAACTACCCTTTTCTCGGAGTTCCTTTATTAATTCTCCATATACCTCCTGTTGTACCATACATAATACTTTATGTCTAGCAGCTTCCAGTTCATCGGCTGTTAGATAGCCAACATTCAGTGACACACCTTGGCGACGCGAATACATAACGGATATGTAGACCACATATCTCTTAAGCCATGCCACAGCTTTAATCAGCCTCACCCAGTCCGAATGATACGCCAAAATCGGATCAGCAGTGAGCTCAGTAACGTTTGTGTTTGTTCGGACCGACCTCTTCAATTCGACATTTTTCGGTGGTTCCTTCCAGCAGAGGTCTGTGGTACTTGAAAACTGTCGGGTTCCCAGAAAAGAGGGGCCCTGAATCCAAGACGCTAATTCACACGCTTTTCGTATGCCTCTTGATGTCCAATCTGCGGGATTCTCTTCAGATTTAACGTACCCCCACTGATTTGGGGATGAATACTGGTGAATAATGGCTAGACGGTTGGCCACAAACGTACTATACCGACTCTCTGTATTTCTAATATAGTACAAAACAATCATAGAATCTGTCCAAAAATAAGTCTTGTCAAAGCTATTTGGGAGGTTCTTCCTCAAAATTTCACTCATTCGTGCACTCAATACTGCCGCAGCTAACTCTAATCTCGGCACTGTCACCGTTTTCAGAGGGGCAACCCGGGATTTGCTATAAAGCAGTATGCTGTAGGGTGGCGTGTTTTTTGGAACGTTCCACGAATAAGCCACCGCTCCATAACCAGATTCAGAGGCATCGCAAAATAAGTGCAACTCAATCTTACTCATCTCACTCTTATCCTCCTTCTTGATACTTCTGGGTACGGAGATTTGCCCAAGATTCTTCATGAACCTCATCCAATCCATCCATAGGGATAGGTCATTGGAACTCAGGGGTGTATCCCAACCAGCATGAGATTTGCAAAGATTCTGCAATAGCTGCTTGGCCGGAAGACAAACTGGGGCGATGAGGCCTAGTGGGTCAAAAAGAGCTGAGACGGTGGATAGTAGTCCTCTCTTCGTGAAGGGTTTTTCGACGGGTTCAAATCGGAACTTAAAAACATCATGCATGGTGTCCCATTCCAAACCTAGGGCCCTGTGGATTGAGCCTTGACTAACACGTAAGTCGACTGAGTTCTCTGTGTGGCTCAGACCAGGAAGAACTACTCTCACTGCCTCTGAATTAGTCACCCACTTCTTCAATTTAAAGCCACCACGTAACAACAACTCAGTGGACTGTTTTACGAACGTTTTTGCCTCACCTGGGCTTGCAAAGGACACTAGGCAATCATCAACATAAAAGTTATGCTTCACTGCTTCCACCACATAGCTATCATAATCGTTGGCATACGTCTCGGCAGTCTTGGCCATTGCAAAATACGCACAAAACGGTGAGGACACTGCACCGAATGGGTGTGACGTCATTTGATATTCAATAGGTTCCTTCGAGA